CCAAAGCTGAGTTTTAGCTCAATAAGTTTTAAATAAGTTGGAATATCCAAACAAAATAATAGGTATTCGATTCGTCACAGTTTTCTATCGATCACTTCAGTTTTCAAAACATTAATTTTAAGATATTAATAAAAAAAGGTAGAAGGTAAAAAGAAAAAAGTAAGTAAAAAGGTAAAAAGAGGTAAGAAATAATAAACCATTTTTTGTAATTTTTTAGTTTTAACATAATTTTTAAATTTATTTTTATTCCTATCACTTTTTTTTGTAATAATTTTATTGCTAATTCAATGGAATAACGTGTAACGTGGTAGATTAACGTTTGTATGAAATACCTAAAAATTACATTGATTGTAAGAGTTTACGTGGTTCGAATGACCCCTTATGAATTGTAAAGATGTATTCATCTACCAGGACACTGTGTATATTGAGCAGTAAGTAATGGCATTGATATTGTTACGAGCTGAGGGTTCGGGATTGGAGTGAAACGCTGGTCATTTAAATGTTCGCTTTATTGTCGCCAACAAAGACGTGGACAGCGGCCTACTCACACGCTCTCTTGTCCTTACTAGTAATACCGGTGCGACGACTCTCCCGTTCCGCACCAACCTTACAGTGCCATGACTGTCGGTGCGCTCTCTCTCGCACCAATCTCCACGTACGCGTACTCCCCTGGCGCAACGATTATCACTTTACTGCACCAACCCACCACTACTAGTGTAAAGTCGTATTACACTAGTAGTCACTTCAGGTCACTGTTCACTCACTATTACTTCACTTTCCACTTTCTTCTTCCTGTTCCTTCTTCCTCTTCCTACTTCCTCGAGTTCCTCGACTGAACTCCCGTCTAGCGCGCTCCGAGCTCCTTTTATAGTCAGAATTTCCTTCGTTTTTCAAATAAAGTTCTGGAACTCGAACCTTCTTTCAAATTATAATTATATTTTTAATTATTTAAAATTAAATCATATACGTCATTTCAAACTGTCATCGACGGATCGTTGACATTTAAGACGTCAACCCCTTAATCGTAACAATATTATATACAACTAAAAGGTCGATATGACACTAGCGCACCAGAACTGGGGAGCTTAAATTACGCCAATTAGTGTAATTCTATGGACTCTTTCCGTATCATACGTTCTATATCATCTGTTACATTCCTTTATATATGACATATAATGTAAAGCGGAACAATTTTTAAACACCACCGTCGTCGGCCGTATGAACATGCGTCATCTATATAACTAAATATCTTTAAGTGCATTACTTATATATCATGTATATACCATTATATAAAAAAGTAAAGTATCAGCCTATACATGCCCCACTGCTGGGCAAAAGCCTCGTCTGTACAGAGGGTAACTATTTTATTAGGATTACCATTATATATATATACCATTTAATCACCCACAATATACATATTAAGATCGAATTTTATTAATGTAAAATAAATCGTGTCAAAAAAAATATTTTGTTAAAATATAACCATATTTTGATTTATTTTTGTCACTTTTGGCCATATTTCAATATCAATGTTACATAACATTAAATATTTACACTTGACAATTTCGTTTTCCATGACATTAAAAATGACTTCAGTGTTTAACGTTCCTAAACTCTTCATAGTTTTGTCTTACACGCCCTTCGTGTTCCGTGCCTTTATTCTAAGTATCTCTTGGGGATCCGTTTTGGCATGAGGATTCCAATTTCGAATTATGACGTCGTGGTTAGAGGGTTTCTTGATTGCAGATATATGAACGTCGCGAGGTGAGCGAACGTATATCGGTAACGGCTGGCGCGGAGCAAACCATGGCCTAGTTGGCGCGAAAAATGGAAGAAAGCTGGGATATTGAGCACTGGCAGCGTTTCTACGGTTACGTATTGCGTGAGTTGAAACGATATTTCTGCTGTCGCTGGATGTTGGGTAGCTTCCATCAATAATTCCAATCATGCCGTTTAGTGGGATCAGTTTCGTATCACCCATATAGGATGGCAGATGGTCTATTCTCTCTGATAGTTCTTGGATCCTCCTTTCATCTTCCATTTTTGACAGTCTTAGTATATTGTTGCTGGCATCCCTAACTTTTCGTATTATAATCGAACTCTGAGGGAGCGGCCTGTGCGGTGGTCGATTTATCAAAACATATTGAGACGATGATTCACTAACTAATGCTGTTATGAGCAATCCCAAAGTTGACAATAACTTCATCATTTTTATTGACTAGCACTCTTAAGTCTTAATGTAGACTGCGCTCTAGAGCTCGCGTCCATGTACATATATACATATCGTTAAGGAAAATACAGGGAATACCGCGTGACGACAATGACTTCCAAAAAAAACCTGTTGCTACTATGCAATACATACATGTTTTTTTTATTCTATTAATGATAAATTCAGATATTTTACATAAATTATAATTACTTTCGTATAAAAGTAAAGTAAAGAAACAGCCTATAAATGTCCCACTGCTGAGCAAAGGCCTCCTCTGTACAGAGGGTTTCAGGGCACAGTCCACCACACTCCGGATTGGCGGACTTCACACATTTTTTTCGTTGTTTGTATATTATTTCGAAAATCTGCAGGTTTCCTTAAGATGTTTTCCTTCACCGCCGAGCACGTGATAAGTCAGCACTTAAAATTAAAAATTTCGTTGGTGCTGGCACCGGGGATCGAACTCAGGTTGCTCGAGTAAATTGAAATAAAAAGGCCAGCGTCCGGACACTGAGCTATCACTGCTCTGTTTCGTATAGTTAGACTAGAAACATATACAAGTTCTTGTATTTGTTTGAACTAATATTGCAATTGATCATTTTCTTAGGAAAGCAAATTCCTGACATATTTATGTTTGTACAAAGTTTTCACCAGAATGAATGAAAGCTCACAATGTAGTTTCGAGCTTTGAGATGAATGATGATGAGATGATGATGATTTCAAGAATCTATTTTACATATTATTAATTAAGGAATAATCGCAGTTCTTTTTGCTCCCCGATGACTACATTGTAACTTTAATTAATTAGTGTAATTAAAGTTTGGACTATAAATACGTCAATATACAATCTTGCTTTTAAATAATCTTGTCGAACATTTGTCGGGAATGCCATAATAAAAATAGTTCAATTTGTGAAGTGTTATCGCAATTTAAACGTCATTCGAAAAACTCCAGACTGATATCACGAGTTATGTCGTCATCGGAGTGTCAAGTCATGTGGAGCATTTTATACAATAAATAAATCAATTCGGGCAATGTGGCTAGATAAAAGATGAGTTTGTGATTACTAAAATAAATAATAAAGTCTTTTCGAAGCTTTTATATATATTTATTATCACCAGTCCCCAAAAATAAACAAAAGACGATGATTCCGATCGAGTTTGCTCATAACTCATTAGGTTGTTTTTTTTTTATGCGAAAAGTTGTCAAATGAGCAGACAGACAGATCAGGTGAACCTGATGTTTAGTGAATACCGCCGCCCATGGACATCTGCCACACCCAAGCATTACAGATGAGTTGACAACCTTTTGAAAATTGGGCTCCGGCTACCTCACTCACCAGACGAAACGCGAAAGTAATTGTCATACTTCCACTTTACGCTGGTCTTCTGTGAGGTCTTGGTACTTACCCGGACGGGCCTGCCCGTTCGTGCAGCAGCCGAAGCTGCTGCGTGGCCCTACCACCGTAAAATATTGGTAAAATGTAATATATTCAACATGAATACGGGTGAGCGACAATGAATTTATAGCTTTGTTACCGCATATATTACGTACTATGGTTCCACCTTCAAGGTTTTTATCACAAAGGTCATCGTTTTAATTTTCCGACGCAGCTTTGGAAAAATTCTTCAGAGCCTACTACGGTTTTTCACCATTGAAAATGGTATCAGCTCCTATTATTATTATATTTTCTTTATTTTCTTGTTTTAATATAATCCGTTCATTTTATTTATTTATATATCACAATGTAACAGTGAATTGATATGTATTAAGTCTAATCGCCAAATTAGTAGAGACCGATTACTCTCCGATACTCATCAATATGAGTTCTCAGGTTCTTCCCAATCTTTGACAACTACTACTATTATTTTGCATGTTTAAGTAATAATACACTGAAAGGTGCTTTTGTATTACTAGTATAAATGGTTGGTAATATATTAAACTTTTGCTGGAATAAGACTAGGTTGACACAAATACATTAATGCACTATTTTTGTAACTCAATTAGGTAAGTGCATAATTATAGCATTAACTTATTTTAATGAGTTAGTCCCGGATACCTTTCTTCACTTGGGACGCCTATCAGTAACTATAAATAAATGGTTACGTACACATTGTTGACAATATCGAACAAACAGCCCAAAGGTAATTTCCCTTTGGCAGCCCTATGAATTATTACTTAAATAACTCCAAATAGTAAATCGAATTCATAGAATATGCATTAGTTTAAGAATTCAAACAATATTTTTATTTCTTTCCTGTATATTCTATATTTTATCATCTTCACCAGTATTAATTTTAACATCCAATGCTAATTGTACTGGTTTTTTGATGGCCAAACTCGTCCAGGGCTGTACTATGGCCTAAAAAGTAAGAAACATTAAACGAAGAAGAAAAAAGAAGTAAACATTATGTTTTGATAGTTCGTCTGGCGAGTCAGGTAGCCTGGGCCCACTCTCTCCCTGCAACTCCTCAGTTATTGTACATGTCCAGGGGCGGTGGCATTTGACATAAAATCCGGTAAGCCCGACGAATCACCTACGGCACACACTCGCTTTTTCACATAAACAAAATAAAAACTCTACTAAAAATACACTCCTTAAATAGCCGCAAGAATTATACAAAGACATCGGCAATGGCCAGGAGGCAACTATGGATTATGTATTAATAAAAAAACTGCTCGTGCTGTTAAAAAATAATATTTATTATTAAAAAAAATACGAACACTGGTTTCATATTTCATAAATTATTGTAGAATCCGAAGTTGACAGGTTCATTGCGCTCTGGTTTTAAGCGTTGCGGCGGTTGTATCCGGGATGTGTGGCACCTGTGTCTCGGCTGCCGCTGGAAGTCGAATGGCTTCCGCCCGAGTGCTTTGAGCTGCGCGAGTCAAAACTACGCGCTGTTCTCGTGTGCGGGTCCAACTTGATGTCGTCGATGTACGGTGGCAGGTAGGGATGGTCTCCAGTAGATGGCGCCCGTGGAGCATCGTCACCTTTGTACAGCCATAGCGGCTCATCGTTCCCCGCTCGACGAGCGGTTCTGATGATCACTGGCCTACTCGGGGGCGGTCTGTACGTCGGATAAATTATTCGCTGACACGACATCTCAGCGATTAGGGCTGTCGCAATAATTGCGGTAACGAGGAGCAGTCTCGACATGGTGAATAGACGTGCGTCTTGCAATGCACGCAGCGATGTAACTGTTACTTTCTTTCGCGGATTAGTATTTATAGCGGACTCTTAAGGAAAACGTTAGGTACTTACCCCGGCGCGTCGTAAATTTAAGTTAAGGGGGGTTAACATTTAATTATGTACAATAATTGAGTATTTATAGTCAAGTAATAATGATTTGAATATCTCAGCAATAGCCTTGTACCTAGCCAAGAAAAGTAGTCCCTCTTTTAAATTTTATGTTACTGGCATGTTTAAATTTTTGCTTAGTTTATTTAACTTGCTGAAAAGTAAAAAAAAAAACAAACTGTCCTTAACCTCCTTACCATCAGCAGGAATTAAAGGTCTACTTGGTCTGACCTTGGTCAGTTGTATTTCTAATATTCTACAGCTTTATTTCTATAAGAAAAAAATTACAAAAAAGTTTAAAATTACAAACAACTTTGTCACAGACTCTTTCAGAGAGAACAATTAATTACTTGTTAACACATACCATGTTAGATATAGAGGCGACAGAAACATGTGGGTAATTTTCCGATTTAATAACCACAAAACAGTGGCACTAGTGCGAGACAGAGTCCAGTTACCCATTCCTTGTCGTATTAGTGTTGTGTGTGCACGTAATGCGATACGAGGGAGACATGTAAAATGTGTACCTACTTACTTAAACAGACACTAGATAAAACGAAACGAATTTTAATTAATTTGACCATCACGTCAAGCGTAGAGCGGATCGTAATGAAAGCAAAGTTTATTTGATGAAATGTATTAAGTAATAAACAGTAATAAACACATGAATATTAAACACTTTAGAATGGAATGGTTATTTTTTTACAAATGACTCCCGCTTCTTTTTTTATAAACAAAGTATAAAAAAATAAAAACATTTGGCTACACAGTATTTTATTTTTATAAACTGCGTTTCGTTCATATTTTTTAATTACCTCAAATTATGCAAAAAAAATCCTAAAATCTTTCTGACTTTGTCTTTGAATAATATCAATACAAAAAATAAAGCATGATTAGTGAACCTGAAACATAAAAATTTAATAAACTATCAAAATAGTTACTTATTCCTTATTATTAATAAGGAATATTATAAATACGGCTTTAGTTAAGAAATGTGAGAGACAGTTCCGTTAAAGCAGAAGTTATATCATGTAGAGTAATTTATCAATAATCAGTTTGAAAATCTTGTTTAATACGAGTATAAGTATTTAAACGGTTGACATGCTTTAACTATGAAATTATTATAAGGTTATCATTATAACATATCGCAGTGCAACTCTTAACGTATGTAAATAAAGCAATTTAGTGATAATAATAATATAGTAACAATAAACACCCTTTGTCAAGCTTATTATTATTCTATATATAGGTACATTCCATTATATAATTGTTATTTGCCATTATGATTACGGGGAATTACCCTATGCTTTTCCTTAAGTAATAAACAGTAAACAAAGCGTCACTAGACAATACTTTTTAAATAAATAAGTAAATTTTGGTGAGTTTTGAAGGCTAACACTCATTGCTAAGATTACATAATATTAACGACTTCATATCGTAGAATTCTTTATTAATTGCCGCGTGGATTACGTTTATTAGATAATATGTTATTTTAGATAGATTTAATCTTGTAAATTTTAAATCAATAAACTGGGTTTGAAACTAAAAAAATTTATTTATAATAATCATCTATACGATAGCCAAAACCACTTGACAAATTAGAGAGATCGCCAACTTTCATAAATAAACGGCAAGTATTTTGATGCTTGATACCCGAATATTGACAATATTTTGAAACAGACAAGAAGTGACAACAAAGACCAAACTTAAATTATTAAGAGCAGGGATGCTCTGGCAAATAATCTCAGGGTTTTCAGCGTCTCTTCGAAGGAGATTTAGCAATATGATGTGATTTACTTCCATATATTAATTCAGATAGATTAATCAGTTCTTAATATATACTAGATAATATTTTGTTTAATACAAATATTTTCAAGACAATTAAAATACAATATTGGTTTAATCTTAAAGCAACGACAATCAAACAAGCTTAACTGTTAGTCAAGACTTCGGAATAGTTTATTCCCCGGGTGATACTCAAGTTTACAAAGGTTTTAGTTTAGTCCGATATTTTTTAACGCTGTTGTACTTCCCCGTTAGAGCAGGCTGATTCATTCTACCGCGTCACTTAGGTACACTGCTCAAATATTACATACAATTGAAAACGCTTCTTATCCATTAATTTTAAAAAATGCAATAGTTTACATAAAATATAACTTATGTATACTATCTATTAATATATTATATCATTACAGATAAAAATGTATTACAATGATTTTCCTTGTTTTCTTCCTTTTCTTTCAACAGCTTGATAGCGTTGTTATACGTGGGGCGCACTAAGTTTTCGCAATGAATAAGACAAAAATGCTATTAAAGGTCAAAAATGAATTTATTGTTCCTCAAAATATTCTCGCTTTGCGTAAATGTACTTTTTCATACGATTAAAACAATTTTGAAAACATGTTTGCCACTCCTCCGTGGTGATCTCATAAACGTGTTTTCATTCTCTTCGACAGCCTCTTTTGGTGATGAAAATCGTTGACCGCCTAATCGTTTCTTAATTTTTGAGAAGAGAAAAAAATCACAATGGGACTGTATGCAGGATTGCTCATAAGTTGTACGGTTTTCACCTTCATAAATTCGTTCATCATGTGTGAACTAGCATTGTTGTGGTGAAAGATGATACGGCGTTTACGGTTATTTTTAAGCAGTTCGTCAATAATTTCCGGCAAACAAAAGGGCTTATACCAGTCACTATTCACGGTACGATGATCCTCTAAAGCAAAAGGAAACACATTCTACAGCCGAAGAGTTCCATTATCAAATGTTGTAATTAATTTTAAAATATTATTAGTGTAAGAGGTAAGTTTCGGAAACTTTTAGTGTGACTAAAGAGTCATTAAACTCAGTGGCCTAGCTTTTGATTATTAATATATTTATATTTGGTGGTACCTTTTGGGATTTGTCTGGTCAGTAGGGTAGCTGGGGCCCACTTTATTAAAAGGTGGCGGTTATCACGTAACATCAGGTGAACCGCCCGCTCGCTTGCCACCTTCTCACATAAGAAAAGAGAAATTTACTCAATGTAACTATCGAGTAAATTAAGAAATATAAATTACATCAAAGTCGAATGCAACTAATCCGTTTTTATAATTAAATTTATGCTTAAAATATTAGTAATATTGTTATTTTTTTATATAGAAATTAATTATATAGAAATTGCTCTACACAAAAACTTAGCATCATAATAATGTTATTGATACAAAAATTCAATACACGGAATTGAAAGATAAAAAAACATTATAAAATATAAAAAAAAGTTTTAAAATATGTTACCACATATAACTATAAAAGGCTATTATTATTATTAAATTACGTATAACTATAAAACAGGAACACTAGCAAATATGCTATGTTCTTTACACAATATTTTTATATTAGTAGCGATTTACCCACGCCACCTGATACAAAACACAGATTTCATTATCACTGACGAGCCGCCATAACTTAGTTAATAAATACAAATATGTAATTTATTTCGTTCATATCGAAAACAAAAAACAGGACTGTGAATATAATATAGGAGGTGCAGTTTTTTAAGGACTTTAATAAACAAGAAATCAAAGTAGTAGGGGAAAGCCCGATGTTATCATCGATTATTAAATTTGCCATTTGACCTTAAAATAATTATCTATTAACAACGAGATATTTTACTCTAATACATACGTATGGATTAAAATAATTGTCGGAATCAGAGAATTTGTACATTTATACATTATAAAGCTAATGTGAATTTAATTGTTTAACCCAAAACTTTTAGGGTTGACGGTTTTAGTGTCAAGTTTGTCGAACAAGTAAATAAAACTAGAACTAAGAAATAAATAGATAAAGCAAAAACCAAAAAGAAGAGCGATTCCTTTTGATTGGCGGCTCGTGTAGATTGGTGCCGGAATACTCTGCAACGCTTCAACGGAGGGGAGTCAGGTGACGAATCATGGATTTATTCATATGAACCTGAAAGAAAACATCAGTCAGCAATTTGGGTCTTAGAAGACGAGGTCAAGCCAACGAAAGTGGTTTGCTCCCGCAGCGTGTCAAAGAAAATGGTCGCTACGTTTGTCTCGAAAAAGGGGCATATTGCTACAATTCCTTTACTGGAACGCAGAACGGTTACCGTTGAGTATATCACGGTTTGTTTGTCAGAAATGATAGCCGAACTCCGAAAAAATAACCCTAAACGTCGCATCATCTTACATTACGATAATGCGAGCTCCCATACGGCTCGGAAGACAAATGATTTTTTGAAGCAGGAAAACGTTGAGCTGATGAGCCATCCTCTATACAGTGCTGACCTGAGCCCAAACGATTTCTTTACATTCCCTAGAATGAAAGATTTATTAAGCGGTCAACTGTTTGAAGACCCCGAATCAGCTGTGGAACCGTACAAATTAGCTATTTTGTCAACATCAACTTCAGACTGGAATTAATGTTTTCATGATTGGTTTGCACGAAAAGAAAAGTGCATTAAGTTGAATGGAGAATACTTCGAAAAACAATAAAATACAATTTAGCTATACCGTGCATGTGGTTTTTCTTATTCCCGATGATTTCAGTGTATCCCTCCGTACATATCAAAAACATTTTGTATAAATATAAGGTTATTATAGCGACCCGCCCCGGCTTCGCACGGGTGCAATGAATTACAATGTATACACATAAAACTTCCTCTTGAATCGCTCTATCTAGTAAAAAAAAAAACGCATCAAGATCCGTTGCATAGTTTTTAAGATCTAAGCCTACATAGGGATAGACAGGCAGACAGTGGGACGACTTTTTTATACTATGTAGTGATAATAAATTAATGTTTAATCCTTTCCATACAAAACATAACGTTAGCCAGATCACATCACGTTATGTTAGAAATTAGAGATATTATTCACACGTGATGTTAGAAATTATCTTGCCTCTACTAAAATAACCAATAGTTAAAGTATGTTGTTTCATTTTATTATGATGGATTCTCTCTGGATATGCGAATCATTCTGAAAAATTTTCCAAACAATGTAATAATATCCCTGAGTAACTTAGTCGTATTTTAGTAAAAGAAAATAAAATTTAATTCCTACGCTCGATATGTATTCATCAATTTGGGAAAATGCTGAACCGGTACCTATGTATGTAATAAAAAGTGTCAAAGTATTGTTATTTTAAATATTACATACTTTTACTAAACGTGCGTTTTAGAAGCACTTAATATTTTATCCTACGCTCGATATGTATTCATCAATTTGGAAAAATGCTGAACCGGTACCTATGTATGTAATAAAAAGTGTCAAAGTATTGTTATTTTAAATATTACATACTTTTACTAAACGTGCGTTTTAGGAGCACTTAATATTTTTATGTAATAGTTTAGTACCTACCTGATTTTTTGTCACTTATTTTTCCATACCGTGCAGAGCTGGGCATATAAGCTAAATATTACAATATGACAATATAGATACAAACCATGTTAAAGAAATAAGATAAAACACATTTTTATGATTATTGCGATAAAAATTAAGTGTTTCTAGAATACTAAACTGACTTAAACTATAGTGTTTAATTTATTAATGTATTAACAACTATCTGAACAGAATTTTAGGAAACAACTAACTGAACACAATTTTAGGAAAGCATATTTTTATTACAAAAGGTGACAAGCACTAGAGCATTTTATCTGAGGTTAAAACGCCAATGGACATGCCCAACATGTGTGGGTAGGAAAACTGATGCAATCCTTTAAAAGAGTGGGTCCCAGTTACCTCAATACCGATATAAATACTAATAGAGTGCCGGCTCGAGCCGAGCCCAGTCCCAACAAACTGATGTTCAGAAAATTGCAATTTGCTTGTGTGGCGAAAATTTATGTCCCCTTAGATAAAATTCTAAAATTGCTTATATGCTTATATTCAATCTACTAAAATACTCAAAAAATTATTGTGTGAAAAATTATTTGTATTCCTATGTTAACAAGCTACATTTTAGCTTATCTTTGAATTTAAAGCATTTATAATTATAATAAATGCAATGTTATGATTGAATATGAGATAATTTCTTTTTCTATTTTTTTTTATGTTCAAACTCTAAAATGTTTATAATTTAGGCACGTTAACAATAGACAATAAAAATAATAATATGATCTTCCTTCTTGTTTTAACAAAACAAGACCAAAAAGTCCAAAACTTGGTCTTTATTTCACGACAAAGAGGAATATTACTAAAACCCGTGAAAATTTTGTGCATTTGACTATATTTTATCTATGCAGTCAAAGCGCCCTCTATCAACTACAACCGTAAATTAGTTGTGTTTCGCCGGCGCTGCATTAGTGGTAAAACAAAAGGTAATTTATTATATTTATCACGGTTTAAAAGTGCTTTTTTTTTATTTTCAGTACTTATTACTGCCTGTTTGATTTTTTTGTAGATAACTTAATAAAAACTTTCGGCACTGCGGGATTCGAACCTTATACGTATCCTGGTTGGTTCGTGAGGCATTACCAACAAAGCTAAGCGGCCGATAACTTCACGGCGCGGTCTGCGTCCTTTTTTAATCATTTTCATCCGCCGTGCAACCGGTGCGAAGTGGGGGATCAACGCAACGTCGATCAACACAGCGATTGCAGACTCCCTACGATTCGCGAATATTTTAAAGACCTGACCAAACGGTTCTCCGATAGAGCCCAACATCATCCCAGCCCTCTGGAGGTAAGCGCAGCAAATTACCAACCCGACACAAACGCGGTCGTCAACAAGCGTCGCCCGCGAAACGTCCTCATCGTCCCGGTCGAGGAAAGGGACTTAGAAACGTCGGACCCACCGTCTTGGGTCCCGCCGGATAACACTACACTCACAGTTTCGATAGGGTTTCGGTCCGAACCGCAACCTCGATGGCCCTTAGATGACATACCATAGTTAAACGCACACATGAGCACATGCGCGGCCCTACCCACAGCGGAGGGCCCAACCCCGTCGGTTCTGGCTAGCCCACTGGTTCTGCGTCAGATGAAGCTTTAACAGTCTCGGGACTGAAAGCAAAAACATCAGTTAATACAAGGTTCAAGTTCGTTCGTTCTTTTTATTTTGTAGTAATGGCGCCAAGGCCATTTAGTGTGCATCCTTTACAGCATATGACACTACAAAGAATATTCAACGATGAACTTTCGTAAAACGAGTGATGTCGCCATCGCTCTTAAAATTTTAGAATTAATTTTTATTGCTTGTCTCTGCACTCAAGGTGAAACATTAAATTGTAATATTTGTATATAAATGAACAAAAACTTAACAGCAATAGCTTAACTGCTGATTCTATGATAATGAAAAATAGTAAGCAATGCTTGGCGTCATCTATTTGTCCCTTTTATGCTCTTTACGCTTAATAACCATAAATAATTTTTTTTTTTTAATACAGTGATAATCTTATCCTTTAAACGAGCAATTCTTGTATATCTTATCCTTTAAACGAGCAATTCTTGTATATATATATATATATATATATATAATCGGAATCTCGGAAACGGCTACAGCAATTTTCATGAAATTTAGTATGTGCGTAGATTCGGGAGCGAAAAATCGATCTAGCTAGATTTCATTTTTAGAAAATGTCCTTTTATCCCTGTTTTCAGGGAATGAAAAATATAATTCGAATATCACAGTAAATTTCGCCGCAAGACAAAATGTCATAATAGCTAGGTCGGTAATCGGGCGGCCCCAAAACAGACGGCCGTGGTTCGCGTCACGATCATTTACACATTTATTTTTTTTAATTTTTTTTTTCGATTCCAGATGATTGCTTTCTTTATTTTTAATTTTTCGTCGATTTGTTATTTTGTTATTTTTTTCCCTTTTTTTTTTAAGTTCTTTCTTTTGTGAAAAATATCAGTTCATATTTTCTTATTATTAAGTCGGTAAGATCGAAAAAAATTATGCATATTTCATTACTCAGTAATTTGTATCTAAATGTAATTTCCAAAATACACGATTTACCAAAAAAACAAACCGAGCAAAGCTCGGTCCTCCGGGTACTTACCATAATTTATAATATTAGTAAGGCTTACACAGCCTCCTAGTCGTCTGACTGAAATAAAACTAGTTCTTAGAAATATTTAGAACTTTTACATTATTTATGATAGTGGTTGGATGTACATTGACGAAATGAATTAAAATCTATCAATTAAAATTGCTCATTGAATGAGTTCATGTTGGCTACTTTCGGTGTTTTCGTCTAAGTGTTTATTTATTTATTTATACTTTATTGTACACCAAAAATAAAAATATATAAAAGCAAATTACACATGAATATAAAAGGAAGTACAAAAGGCGGTCATATCGCTCAGAAAGCTATTTCTTCCAGACAACCATTGCGAAAAGAATATTTGCTAAAGAGACATAAAGAAGAGAGCAGAAGGAGGTGTACATGAATCACGTATGAACATCGGATGAAGGCATTTATACATCAATGAGATAGTCAAAGATTTTGAGAAAAAAAGAAGGAAAAAGGAAAGCATGTGTTCACAGTTCCAAGCAATGAGCTTTTAATAGATTTTTAAAAGAAAGAAGTGACTTAGCCTGTCGAATGTGAAGGGGCAAAGAATTCCACAAACGCGTGTTTAGTTATAGTTATAGGTTTATCTTTAATTGTATTTGAACTTCGCTATCGAATTAGGTATCGCCTGTACCTGTAGTTGTTAGTTGATATATGAAATAAACCACCGCCCATTGACATTTCAACATTCTTTGAGTTGCACCTTTAATAAAGCGGACTCCGGCTACCTCACTCACCAGACGAAACACAGAAGTAGGTATAACAATTTCACTTTACGCCGGTCATCTGTGAGGTCGTGGAGTACGACCTTCGTCCGGGTATACCTGGATGGACCTACTCATTCGTGCAACAGCGTAGCCTGTTGCGTTAGAAAAATAGTGATTAAATACAATCTCCCCTCGCCTTCTCTTTTTTCCTTATTAGTTGTTGAAAGATTTTAAAGAACGTCATATTATGTAATTATTATTGTGGAGACAAAAATACGTGTTAATTCAATGACACCCTAAACGCACTCAAAACTGCAAAAGTAGCACTAGCAACAGGAACACTAGTCTAGTAAGCAACAACAGCACAGATGTCCTTGACTCCCCAACAGACCAACATTGGCCTAAAGGTCCTTGATACCGGGCCATAAAATCCAAAAAAAAACAGACCAATATTTCCGAACTGGCAATAATAAAATCTGTCAATAATAAATGTCATTACTTATAATTGATTTGTTATTTTTGTCTGGTCGGAGACATATAGCGAAAATAAAAAATGTATCTTTAAAGTTTTTAATAACTATCCACATATTTTATTTATATTATTAAAAATAATTATTATCAAGTGACATTCATTGGGTGCATTGCAGATACTGCAAGAAAATGGAAGACGGACAAAATGGTCATGGTAAGTCTTATCCAATTGTAATTTTCTCAAGTATAGTAATTTCCTGATATCTACTGGCAAATATTAATAATAAACCGTTATTATTTTAGGAAATTATGACATGCTTAAAGCACTCTATGATTTTGAGGCCACTTTAGCGAAAACTTTAAGTTTTACAGAAGGTGAATTTTTTTACCTTCAACAGACGAACAGTAAGCAACGTAACTGGTGGCATGTTGTTAATAGGAAAGGTCATGTTGGTTTCGTTCCTTCAAATTACGTAGCTTCAATCAAGGTATGTTATAATTGTCCTAATCAACCTAATTCCTTACTAATTGTATCCAAGAGTTCCAATGTTAGATCATAAAAAAACTTAAAGCGTCTTCCATAACACAGGTTGAACCGGAATTTTTTCTTGGATTCCTAAACGATTGCATCAAAAATCTTAATGAGAATAATACAATGACATCACAAAAACAAGAAACATTAGCTAGATTAAATGAAAAAAAGAAACAAGTGCAACTATTGATAAAACCTCAGTCTAAGAAGCCTCCAGCACCAAAGCCACCTCCACGTTGGGATGATTCAACCCCTCCAAATGGAGTATCACCATCATTTGATCTGAGACCTGTTGTTTCCCAACAACATGTTTCTGAAGACATTGATACACCTCAATCTCCAATAAAAGTTGCTGAAAGAACTTTGTCAGAAGGTAAGTTAAATATTCTTAAAAACCTTAGAGTAAATTTCATATTTCAAAGAAAATTGTTGACTTTAGTTGTTTTTAAATGTTATGATAGTACAAGAATAATTTTTAAATAATAAAAAGGTTTCTATTTAATTCTGTCATTTTGAAATTTGAACATATCATTAAACAAATCATAGAAAATTAACAAAGAAATAGTTATATATCTCTTCCAAACTTGAAACATAGTCCACCCTATGTTTTTTCTTTATATTAACAATGAAAATACTAAATAGTTAAAAAAATATTTAAATTACATGCTTCAATATAAATCATTTTCTTTGCATTGGTTTCTTATTAATGTTATTATTGGTTGTTAACAACAGAAATTGATGAAGATCTAAAACGGAACAGTGTACAGAAATCTTCTTCAAATCAGTTATCTTCTGATACGGACAATCAAGATGATAGTCAGGACAGCAGTGAAAGCATTAAGCCTAATGCTATTTACGAAATTGTCCAAGCAGTGCGTAAAGAAACCCAGTTAAGTCATGAGATGTCAAAGGTGGCTGTGGAAACTGTCCTTATTTCTTTAAGGGTGAGCATAAAGTTTTTATTTCAGGTCACAGGTATTTAACTTATTTTTTGTAAAAATACAAAATGTGACATGAAATTATTATACTGATGGATAACAGCAGATTTAAATTGAAATAATCTTTTTCTACAAATTTTAATGAAATAATCTTACTGTTTCTTATAATTATTGTGAAAAAATTATAAACCTAACACACAAGGTGAAGTCCTATAAAATAGTCTTTACAGAAATTTAAACCATTGAACCACAACCTTTTATCATTCTACATGTTATATCTGTGCACCTACCTCTACACCACCCTAAGGTTAAGTGGTAGAAAATGCCTTTGGAATTTGATCCACCTTTGTACTAGTTTGTGCATAAAGTCTAAATAAATGAATAAACTCTGATGAAGTTCTGGGACTATAATTATTTTATAATTATAATCCTGGGATCATAGGTCTGGGATTATAATTATTTTATAGTTACAATCCAAGAATAAAATGTTAATCTGGCATGCTATTAAAAAAATTTTAACTTTTTACAAACAGGAATTTCTTCCTGGGGGCGCAGCAAGATCAATAATTGACGCACTTCTCCGAGAAGCTAATAGTAACATTACTTGCCCCAAAAATGCTATTGACGCTGCTCCAGATGCATTACGTATGATGACTGCTTTGAATGCTCTATCCAAAGCGGCAAATGATGCTCAACAGCGAGGCTGGGCATTACATGATGATGCTCATGATATACAAACACAATTGCTTGAGCTCATCTCTGTCATGGTAAGATGTTTGTAGTAAAATTAAAGTAAAATCAGCCTATACATGTCCGACTGCTGAGCAAAGGCCTCCTCTGCACAGAGAGTATCAGGGCATAATCCACCATGGGGGACTGCGGATTGGTGGACTTCACATTATATCTTCGAAATATTATTTTTAAATTTATTATTTGGAATATATGGTTTCCTCAGGATGTTTTCCTTCAACACTGAGCATGTGCCAGCGAGGGGATAGAACTCAGGTTGCTCGAGTATATTGATTTAAAGGCGAGCGCCCAGACACAGCTATTACGGCTCTTCAAGTCTATAGTTTTGTTGTATTTTATGATAATGAATATTAGATATATTGTTGAATGTTGTTGTACAAATGTGTATTAGTAAGTTTACTGTTCTAAAAACATCCATAAGTTCTACCTTTGTTACCTGTCTAGTATGAGTATTTTAAAATAGAATTTCTTTCCAAATAGATATGGTGAAATATAACTAAGATATGAATCTTATATTAGATGGTCTTTTTTTCTACTAAATAAGTAAAGAAATTTAATCGACTTTTATCATTTTGTTATTCCAGTCGAACGCCGATGTTAACATATCGCAGCACGTCTTAAGCAGTCACCGTTACGCTTACGTCACCACTTTAGTCCAATATTATCAGATGGAAACGCGTTGGCCTCTACGGCAGCTGCTATTACAGGTAAGATTGTTTTTAATTAATTTATAATGTTCCTTCAATTCACTGAAAATATAAGAAAGTATGTTATACTGTGAACAGACTTTCTGATTATGTTGTTTAATTCTAATTTTTCCATTTTTGTAGTAACATACAGTTTACATTTTTAAGGTACTAATCTGAGAAAAAACATTGTAGTTAAAATACTTTGAGATTTTCGTGACCGTGGCAATCAACCATTTAGACTAGTGGTTAAAGCGTCTTGGTGCAAATCCGGAAGACGTGGGTTCGATTCTCGTAGTGACGAAAAACTTTTCGTCCATTCTTTCTACAACTTTGAGTTAAATTTTTACAGTTGATTAAAAATCCATTAAAGTGTTTGTTATAATTTTTACCAGGCGTTTGGAGTGATGTGTGGTTTGGAGCGCACTGCCCTGGCAACCCTAGCGCTGTCAGCGTTGCCGGCGGAAATCGCACGCGACATGCGTGACAACCCTCGGGCTGTCAGCCGTCTTTCGCACTCTGCTCTACTGCTGTCTATGGTTCTCTCTATGGGCGACAAGTTGCCAGTGACGCATTTCGGTAGGTTTGGCTGCTACACTCTTTTCAACGCAGCGTAATTTAGCATTTTTTCTCCAAACAAACTCATTCCAAGAATGTAATAAGTCCATAATGACTGAATGATTTTCATTTATTATATTAAAAATTAAATTCAAATTGTAAATTAAATTTAACATTTAAGACTAACTTTTGTAAACTTTTATTTTAAAAGTAATGGTAAAGTTATTTTTTGTGGCGCCTTTCAGAACAACTGGGTGTAGAGTTTGCACAATTTCTACTTGAGCTCATCGAAAACCCGCCCGAGACAGATGTAGATGAACAAATTCCTGATTTGTTTTTGACTCTTTTACTCGCCTACAACTTGCAATTTGAGAACCCATATGAAAATCTACTTTTAAACGCATTGGAAACGCAAGACAATGCTAAGACTTTCTGCGAAAAAGTTCTACTCCTACTAAATCGTGAAGGTGAGTTGGGGTTCAATATAGTCGAACGGTTTCCAAACCACATTGAGGTGAATACTACATATACGGTTAATTAAATATCATTTATACAGCGTGTCTTTACCACCGCGACAATAAATGAACACACGTCTAACGCTACTTGCCAATAATCATAAAAAAATATAAACGTAAAAAAAATCCATAGTTAAAAAAAATATTTTTCAAACAAACTAATTAAGTAAAAAAGAAACAAAATTTATAACATCCTATACAACTACAACTGACTGATTCATACATTCAGAGACTTTTTCATTCGTTGCCACAGCGCTGCATTACAAGTCTAACAGTATGTTTTGTCTCTTTTAAATACATTCAACCCATTCATATGCTGTGTGACGTTTATAAATGAACTTTATGTGTTCTAGAATTCTTTGTTTTGGAAAATTTTATAACTCGGTAAATATTGATGTTTATAGAATGTAAATCTTTAATACAATTTTAAAAAGTTATCCTCTATATGTGCGTTCATTTATTGTCGCGATGGTAAAGACACGCTGTATATATTAAGAGCCGTGATAGCTCAGTGTCCGGGCGCTCGCCTTTAATTCAATATACTCGAGCAACCTGAGTTCGATCCCCGGTGCCGGCTTCAATGAAGTTTTTAACTTTAAGTGCTGACTTAACACGTGCTCCACGGTGAAGGAAAACATCGTGAGGAAACCTGCATAGTTTCGAAATAATAACAAAAAAAATATATTTCGAAGATATGTGAAGTCCGCCAATCCGCAGTGGGGCAGCGTGGTGGACTATGCCCTGATACCCTCTGTAAAGAGGAGGGGCCTTTGCCCAGCAGTGGGACATGTATAGGTTGTTACTTTACTTTTTACTTTTACATATTTTGTTTTATAAATTAACATTTTATATGTTCTATAAATTAGCAAACAATAATTGGATCAATTATCCTGTAATCTGAGAATACACAAAAGAAAATACAAGCGAACAGCAAAGTCACGAGAATTATTCATGTTATAATTGCGATAATGACAACAAGAAGTGAATCCGGGTGAAATTAGTATATTCCATTTTTTCGGCTCATGTCGCTTACCAGACGAACGCGCTTCCACTTCACGTCGGTTTTCTATGTGGTTGTGGTACTACCTCGTACGAAGCTGCACATTCGCGCAATAGCAAAAGCTGCTGTGCGGCCCTACCACAGCAATTATACTAATACTTATTACTATTAATACTTTTTACGGTGGTAGGGCCACGCAGCAGCCTCGGCTATTGCACCAATGGGGAGGCCCGTCCGGGTAAGTACCACGGCCTCACAGAAGACCAGCGTAAAGTGGAAGTATGACGAATACATTCGCGTTTCGTCTGGTGAGTGAGGTAGCCGGAGCCCAATTTTCAAAAGGTTGTCAACGCATCTGTAACCCTTGGGTGTGACAGATGTCCATGGGCGGCGGTATTCACTTAACATCAGGTGAACCGTCTGCTCGTTTGACAACTTTTCGCATAATGAAAAAAAACTATGACCTTCTCGCAACCTTGCAGAGGACCCTGTTCACATCTTCGACCACGAGCCGGCGCCTGCCCATTCGGTGCTCAAGCTCTCCATCGACCTGTTCAGCCGCAAAAAGACCGCAGAGCACTTCTACACGAACGACGTGAAGGTCGCTATCGACATCATCGTGCGCCAACTGGCCGACTTATCGCCCGGCGATTCTGTGAGTATCAGATGAGATTGCATCCGTGGTATCATCACTACATAGTTTAAAGTCGGCCCGCTGTCCCTATGTATGCTTAGATCTTTAAAAGTACGCAACGGATCTTGATGCGGTTTTTTTTTACTAGATAGAGTGATTCAAGAGGAAGATTTATATATGTATAATACTACTGCGTCAGATGCTTTAATAGTCTCGGGACTGAAAGCACAAACATCAGTTAAAACAAGAGACATTAAACCCGTGCGAAGCCGGGGCGGGTCGCTAGTATCTTTTTAAAGACTTTTTATTTAACCGAGACCACATTGCTAGGAGGATGCGGTGTAGGACTAAAGTAGTGTGTGTGTGGTCTAAAGTAGGTGTACTAAAGCAAAAGTGATAAATAGCAGTCGGAGTATACATTATAATAGTATAATTGACATTCAATTATTGTTGTGTATATGTAAGAGATCGAATGAGAGAGAGAAATGAGGAGAGCCGTAGAAGAACTAGATTTACCGATATAGCAGAGCGAGTCAGCAGGCTGAAGTGGCAATGGGCAGAGCACATAGCTCGAAGAACCGATGGCCGTTGGAGCAAATAGGTTCTTGAGTGGAGACCACGTGACAGCAGGCGCATTGTACGAAGGCTTCCCACAAGGTGGATGGACGACCTAGCCAAGATCGCAGGGACGCGTGGATGTCAATGGGGGAGGCCTATGTTCAGCAGTGGACGTCCTACGGCTGTTATGATGATGATGATATGTAACATTTTTTTATATATTAAAAGAATTATGTCAGATACAACCCAGCAATGGCTTTAAACACACTGCGGCTTGAATGCTATGCAAACAGACAAACATTTTATAACAGCTACCCTAATGGAAAGGACCTATTATAATGTTGAAGAATACACTAAGGACAAAGATGTGTGGAAATGTCTCTTGCTCTGCATTTGTAAATCCCCCGGCTGCTGCTGATTTTATACTTAAATAATTTTTTACACTTATATAAACTTAACAAAAGAGTGCAGAGATTCTTGCCGGTTCTTCTCCTAGTTCTTCTTCTATTAGCCGGTCTAGTTTATTGCACCAATAGGTTTTTTGCTTAAAGTGCATTGTAGAAAAAATTGACTATTGCAGCGTCGCCACGAATACCTGAGGGTGCTGCAGGGCATCATACGCAACACGGAGTACGGCGCTCACCTGCACCGGCGGGACGACCTGCTTCGATGCTTCGCGCGCATCTTCTGCGAGGAGGGCGACGCGAGCAAAGAGGACCAGGCCCTCGTGAGGGCGGTATTCAACGAGTTCCCGCAATACTTCATGCCATAAGGTGCGCCACATCTCCGCACATTCGGCCTCCCGACGGCAGCTGCACCCACCGATTTCCTCCAATGAGCGAGGTACCACAGGTATACTCTGTTTCATCTATTCCATGAAATTACAGTTTCAAGATTGATTGAAGTCGCAAAACCTCTAATTTATAATTTCGTAACGATAGAATCACAGATAGGTTTTATTGAAGTACTGAAGTTTGTTAAACTTTCATCTCTTTCTAAAAACAAAGGAATTATTCAAACAAAACCACATTTCCACCTTGAGCATTTATATATAATTATATCCTAAAGAACTTAATCTCAATATTGTGATTGTTAGTTATATTAAGGGTTTGCTTATTATAGTAGGATTGAAATTTATAATCTTAAAAAAATTACAAAATGTCATATGTTATATTGAATACTCTTAAAATTTATTAAATGGTTACATAATTAAAAACTTTGGGTATTATTAATATAAGAATTAGAACACTTTCAATTTATAGTTTTATCACTCAATTGTTAGGCCTACATCACAGACTAATAAAATAACAGGATTCTGCACAAAGTATATCAGCTGTGAGGCATCGTAGTATCTATGTGAGAGTAATTTGATAGTTACTAGATGAATGAGAATTTACCAATTTTTTTTACTATTTTTCCAGTTTTCACTTGACATAATAAATCAGTTCAAGAAGTTCACTATCATTATTTAATTGAATTGTCATACTTTATAGGCCATAATTTATGGTTAACATTTAAAATTAAGTATTTCTCTTGTATGAATGACAAAGAAACGCTGCTGGTAAGTAATTCAATTGTTAGCGTTAGAAAATAGTACTAAGTTCAAACAAATACTACTAATAATAATAGTCATTGTTATATATTTAAATGAAATTTAAAGATTATTTGCGTATTGAAGCAAGCTTTTGGAACAAATCCCGTAGAAATCTGAACGCTTTTATGAAGCAATGGAAATTATATGTTTAGAACTATTATACTAGTGATAAAAAACCTGCACATGAATAACAACCTGATAAGTTCCACCTGTTTCCCAATCTGCGGAGCGTAGTCATGTTAATGGAATTGGAATAAGTACAGATGCATTGGCTTCAAGTCTTTTTTTCACAAACCTGAATACTAGCACACGGTATAAAATTTTTAGTTATTTATCTTTTGTAACGCCTAAAAAGTACTTCTTAAGTGCGCACAAAAGTACACAACACCCGTTTTTTTCATAGAGTTCTCTTCAGAATAACTACTACTCAACTCAACAGTACTATGAAAACTATGTTGAGTTCAGAAATTTTAAGTAACATTTATTTTTCTAATTCGATTTGATAGCAAGTACTTTTGTTTGGATACCTAGTAAGTATCGTAAGATTAAGTGGCAGCCCGCTTTTACAAACGCCTCTAGTATGATAATTATGTTTCGTTCAGAAATTTTAAGTAACATTTATTTCGGTCAGGTCAGTCTGATTCGATTCGATAACAAGTACTTTCGTTTCGATACCAAGTAAGATTGATTTGATGCTAAAAGTACTTGACAAGTAAGCGGTGTGGCTTACTTACTTTGCCTCACTGTTGATATATGTGATGGAGTCTTTTTATTTTCGTCCGTGGCCTATATATATTTGCATTTACTTAACACTTATATAGGTAGTGACAATATTTTTTTTTTGCGTTTATTGTTATATTGTTTGATAAAAATACTAAATACAACTAGATAAGGTATTATAAAATAGCTCCTATATTATGTATCTTGTTCACTTTGTGCACTTACATTAACCAATATTGAAATTTATTGTTTGCCAAAAATTTTTAAAAGATTTTCCTGGTTATTTAAGAATATTCACAATATGTTTTGGTATTTCCATGCCCACGCAAAACTTTGCTTATTTGTTAGGAATATACTAGTTGGCAACTTATTAAGATATTTTACTGTAGTCTGATCTGTGCCATGATATTTATTTACCAAAGACAGTAAGAATGTATTCAGTAAAATAGTTAGTCAATTACAACACGCTTTAAGAAAACACAAGATATTTAAAAAATATTGCCACATTTATCTAATTAAAATCGGCCTACATTTTCTTTTGGATCATTATTTATATCACATTGAAAGTTCAGTTTAATTGTTTCGGATACAGTTAGTTTTTACATAAAAACCGTTGTTTAGTATTTATCACACATAATTAAATATATTCTACATTTCCCAATTTATTGTGAATGCATGTTAAATATTTTATTTCAAATGTTTTTATTATGTAATTCTGTTCACTATTAACTTAAACATTACAAATATTACTAATTATAAGATAATTCAGTTACACTTATGTAACAGAAGTTATTCTCATAGCAGAAAATAATTCAGATTGGTAAGTACTTACTAAATTCACATATTTTGCTAGATGTCCATTGTTATTAAATAAAAAAAAAGTATTTATTAATGTTAATATCTTCAATTAATCTACGATGTTACGATGTAATTCCTTAGTATATTTATGATTAAAACTGCATGCTTAAAATGTTAGATTTCATGTGCATTAGTACATTAAAATTTAAATTGGATATTTTAAAGTGACCAACACTTCAGGGTGAATAAATTTCATTACAATTAGTACAACAACAATATACATTTACAACCTCATTTCTATAAAAATTTGTGCATGTTATGTAGTTTTTGTCAAATTTTCCAAGTATTTTTCATAGCTAGGTCATATTTTAGAAAACCATCATGTGATAAAATATATGTCATTGAATTTGCCTCTTATAAAGTATTGTAGATAAAATGAAAGGAATATACTATTTGTTCATGACTTTTATTCAGAAGTGATTGAAAAAATATTTTCAATATAAACATAAACACATTTTGTAATATTTAAGGTTCTTACTTTGTGTACCTAGTCATTTCTATATTAATGCAACTTACTCTATTGGGTCTCTATATCTCAATACATGTTTTCTTTATAATATTATAATTGTGTACATTAAGCGTCGTTATCTTCAAATTTTCTAAGTTTCGTTCAACTTTAATGCAATTTTATTCAAAGAGTTTTTAATAAGAAAAAAGTGTGCGATTTGCCTTGGCGTTTTAATTAATGCAATTATAATTAATATAACTTGTTTGTTATGCTCAAAATATAAGCCAAATTTTTTACAATACTTTATGTATATAATGTGTTGTGTCCTTATTGTCTGCGTATATACTCATTTAAACTGTGTATTCCTCATATATTCACAAGAAGGGCAAGAAGATAAAAAAAAAGATATGAACAATGTCACTAGAAATATTTATTATAATTTTATAAATTTTTCACCCAAAGTATTGTCTAAATAAAAAAAAATACTAAATTTTATCAGAATTGTATCTTATCTATCGTTATATATGCTGGAGAATATACACAACGTCGTAATTCGGTTGAATTGTAAAATAAATTTTATTTCATATGTTTCTTAGGAATTCCGTACATTTTTAGACAACAATAAGAAATGGTTCAATGAGGGTAGCACACAGTAATGGAGTGTAAATGATAACGAGTTTGTAGACCTTGTGTGTAGTATTTTAACTTAAAATATTGACTACCATAAATGTTCAACTAATAACCAGAATGGCTCTAATAGTAGCGTAAAAAAGGCAAATTCATCTGTTACATAGATTATGCAATTAGGAGCCTTAATAAAAGATAGTTTCTTCATTTGTGTCTAGTGTGCTTTATAATAATTTGTATACATTTTTATATAGTATTTTGTTTTATATATTATTACATATTTCTATACAGCGTGTCGTTGCCATCGCGACAATAAATGAACACACAATAAATAAATCATAAAAAAATATTAACGTTAAACAAAATCCATAATTAAAAAAAAATATTTTTCAAACAAACTAATTAAGTAAAAAAGAAACAAAATTTGTAACATCCTATACAACTCGCGCCACAGCGTCGTATTACAAGCCTCTCCTAACAGTATGTTTTGTCTCTTAAATTCATTCAACCCATTCATATGCTTTGTGACTTTTACAAATGAACTTTACGTTACAGTTTTATACGTAAGGGTGTTCTAAAATTGTTTGTTTTGGAAAATTTTATAACTCGATAAATATTGATGTTTAAAGAATGGAAATGTCTAATACAATTTTTAAAAATTATCCTCTATATGTGTGTTCATTTATTGTCGCGGTGGTAACGATACGCTGTAAATTGATGATATTTTATGACTCCGTGGTGCATTTGCCAAGGTATTGGCTTTGGCATCGGGGGATCGTGGGTTCCATTCCCACACAGGACAACTATTTCTGTGAACCACAGATAGTTGTTTCGCATCTCGGTTCATTTATCCACGTTAAATTTATTTTTGTAAAACGTCCTTACAATATAGGATAATGTTATCCTAAAGTAAGGGCAATGTTTTAATAATTAAAAAACAAATACAGTCATAGGTTTCGATCATTTCTGGTAACATAAATACGTAATGGAATACTTACATTTATCTTTCATAAAAATTTTATACACTCAGGCTTAGCCTGGGAGCATGTGTGGAAAAATATAGTCATTAACATGTCAGAGAAATTAAATACAATATGAAGTGTATAGAGGCAAGGAGACGCATCTCAAAAAGTGTTTTTTTTTTTAAATATACACCCAAATATAATTAATGGCCAGAATGGCGGGTGTGTAGCATAAAAGTATGGTTTGTAAAGGATTAGAATAGATGGAATACAAAACTGTATTTAAATAAAACTTGAAAATTGCGCTTTTATAGAGCGGATATCTATTTTATCTCTATCTATATTTTACCCAGTGTATTTTATTTTATGAACATCTACAGTGAAGTACTCCTTACCTCTGCACTGCATAAGTAACTAAATCTTAGTATATTCTCTTCATTAAATTTAACACAATTGTCATTGATCTCGCTTAGTGCTTATATATAAAAAAAAAACTATTTTTGAATTATTATGTATGGATATTGTGATTAAGGTAAAATATTACTGTTGAACTATTGTATCAATTTTAATGACATTGAAATTATTAAAAATACAGTAGGTATATCGATATTGATAATATGTGTGAATTTTATGTTCAGAAAATTTATTGAATTTTAATT